TCCAGTTTTCTCTGCACCATTTATTGAAGACTCTCTTTTTCCCTCAATGTGTGTTCTCAGTACCTTTGTAAAAAATGAGTTCACTGTAGGTGTGTAAATTTGTTTCTCAGTTCTCTATTCTGTTCCATTGGTCTATGTGTCTATTTTCATGCCATTACCATGCTGTTTTGGTTACTAGACAGCTCTGTAGTATAATTTGAAGTCAAGTCATGTGATTTTGTCAGTTTTGTTCTTTTTGCTCAGGATGGTTTTGGTTCTTCTCGGTTTTTTGTGGTTCCATGTAAGTTTTATGGTTTTTTCCTACTTCTATGAAGAATGTCATTGGCATTTTGTTAGGGATTGCATTGAATCTGTAGATCATGAACATTTTAACAATATTGATTCTTTCAATCCATGGACATGGAATATCTTTCCTTTTTTGTGTATCCTCTTTAATTTCTTTCATCATTTTTTTTAATAGTTTTCGTAATGGAGATTTTTTACTTCTTTGGTTAATTTCTAGGTGTTTTATTTGTTGCTGTTGTAAATGAGATTTCTTTTTTGGTTTCTTTTTCAGATCGTTCACTGTTAGCATCTAGAAATGCTACAGATTTTTGTATGTTGATTTTTGTATCCTGCAACTTTATTGAATTTGTTCATCTATTCAAATAGTTATTTTGTGGAGTTTTTAGTTTTTTCCAAATATAAGGTCATACCATCTGCAAACAAGGATAATTTGACTTACTCTCTTCCAATTTGGATGCCCTTCATTTCATTCTCTTGTTTGATTGCTCTGGCTAAGACTTCTAATATTATGTTGAATGATACTGGTAAAAGTTGTCATGTTCCAGATCTAAGATCTGCTACTGTTGTACTGGGATCTACCTCTCACGTTAGCTCTAATGATATTTGCCCTTCATTTCATTCTCTTGTTTGATTGCTCTAGCTAATACTTCCAGTGTTATGTTGAATAACAGTGGTAAAGTTGTCACGTTCCAGATCTAAGATCTGCTACTGTTATATTGGGATCTATCTCTCACTTTAGCTCTAATAATATTTGCTTTATATATCTGGGTACTCCTTGGTGCATATATATTTACAATTGTTATATCCTTTTGCTGAATTGACCCCTTATTTATTATATAATGACTTCCTTTGTCTCTTCTTGCAGTTTTTGTCTTGAAATCTGTTTGTCTGATGTAAGTATAGCTACTCCTGCTCTTTTTGTTTGTTTGTTTCCATTAGCATGGAATATCTTTTTCCATGTCTTTATTTTCAGTCCATGTGTGTCTTCATAGGTGAAGTGTTTTTCTTGTAGGCAACAGATCATTTGGGTCTTGTTTTTTTTAATCTATTCACCTACTCTATGTCTTTCTTTTTTCGTTTTTTTTTTTTTTTTTTTCCAGACAGGGTCTTACTCTGTGATCCAGGCTGGAGTACAGTAGCACAGTCACAGCTCACTGCAGCCTTCACCTCTTGGGCTCAGGTGATCCTCACACCTCAGCCTCCCAAGTAGCCACTCCAAGTCTTTGGATTGCAGACTTTAGTCCATTTACATACAGTGTTATTATTGACAAGTAAGGGCTTACTCCTGCCATTTTGTTATTTGTTTTTTGATTGTTTTTTAGTCTTCTTTTCCTTCTTTTCTTCTTTCCTGTCTTCCTTTTAGTGAAGGTGATTTTCTCTGGTGGTATGCTTTAATTTCTTGTTGTTTTTTTTTTTATGTTTTGGGTATTCATTGTATTTGTTTTTAATTTGAGGTTACCGTGAGGCATGCATATACTATCCTATAAACCATTATTTTAAACTGATGACAACAGTAATTACATAAAGAAACACACAAAAGAAAAACTAATAAGAACTCTACACCTTAACTTCGTCCCCCTGCTTTTTAACATTTTGTTGTTTTTCTTTATATTTTATTCTACTGTTTATGTCTTGAAAAGCTGTTATTATTTTTGGTTGGTTCATCATTTAGTCTTTCTCCTTAAGACAACAATAATTTACATACCACCTTTACAGTGTTATACTATTCTATGTTTTTCTATGTGCTTCCTATTTCCAGTGGATTTTATACCTTCAGATGATTTCTTCTTGCTAATTAATATCCTTTTCTTTCAGATTGAAGAACTCCCCTTAGCATTTCTTGTAGGATGGGTCCGGTATTGATCAAATCCCTCAGTTTTTGTTTGTCTGGGAAAGTTTTTAATTCTTCTTCATGCCTGAAGGGCATTTTTGCCAAATATACTATTCTAGGGTAAAGATGTTTTCCTTTAGCTCATTAAATATGTCATTCCACTCTCCCCTAGCTATAAGGTTTCCACTGAAAAGTCTGCTGCCAGATGTATTGCAGCTCCATTGTATGTTATTTTTTTCTTTTCACCTGCTTCTTTTAGGATTTTTTTTTTTTTTTGACGTTTTGAGTTTGATTACTAAATGCTTTGAGGTAGTCTTCTTTGGTTTAAATCTGCTTGGTGTTCTATAACCTTCTTATGCTTGAATATTCGTGTCTTTCTCTAGGTTTGGGAAGTTCTCTGATATTATCTCTTAGAGAAAATTTTCTATTCTTATCTCTTTTTCTACCTCCTCTTTAAGGTCAGTAAGTCTTAGAATTGCCCTTTTTACACTATTTCCTAGATCTCACAGACAATCTTCATTGTTTTTTATTCTTTTTTCTTTTGTCTCCTCTAATTGCTTATTTTCGAATAGCCTATCTGCAAGCTCACTAATTCTTTCTTCTGCTTGATCAATTCTGTTATAAAGAGGTTCTGATGCATTCTTCAACATGTCAATTGCATTTTCAACCCTAGAATTTCTACTTGATTGTTTTTAATTATTTCAACCTCTTTGTTAAATTTATCTGATAGAATTCTGAATTCCTTCTCTGTGTTGTCTTGAATTTGAGTTTTCTCAAAATAGTGATTTTGAATTCTCTGTCTGAAAGGTTATATATGTCTATTCTCCCAGGATTGGTCCCTGGTGTCTTATTTAGTTCAATTGTTGAGGTCATGTTTTCTTGGATGATGTTAGTGCTTGTAGATATTTATGAGTATCTGACAGGATGGTGAGATCTAGGCAATCTCACAAATCCTTAATTTCCTTATTCATAATATGTTTATATACATATTTATATTTGTACATATTTATAAAACATATATTATAAATTCTTAATTTCTTGTTTATAATATGCATAAGGTTGTTATATGCATGCCAGAAAAAAAAATTAACAAAAAGAATATGAAATTTAAAAAAATAAGGTTGTTGTGAAAATTTGATAATACCTGTAAAGCTCTTAGCATAAGTGCCTGGCACAGAGTAGGCACTCAATAAGTATTTGCTTCTGTGGAGGTAGAGGTGGAGGTCATGGGGAAGAGGAAGTACTGATCAATATAGCAAAGGACATGGTTGTAGTACAGAGAGGGGCACTCATCCCAGGGAGAATACTCCTAAACTGAATCTTAAAGAATGACAGAGTTCATGAAAAAAGGAAGAGCATCAACAAAGGTATAGAAGCATAAAATGTTGTGTATATGTGGTGTAGCAATTTGATACTAATAGAACTTGATGTAGGAATTGGAAATGATAGTTAGCTGATGAGACTGGAGAAGTTGGCTGCTGTCAAGTCTTTGAAAGTATTGCACCTTTTTCTAAGCTGAAAGTATTGCACCTTTTTCTAAGCAAAAGGGAGACATTGAAGAATTTAAGGAGAGAGATGGCATGGTCAGATTTGCATTTCTACCTAGCTCACTCTGCAAGGCGAGGATGCTTAGAAGTGGAGACAGTAACTGAAGTAAGCTCTTTCACAGTTCAATTGAGAGATGAAGGCCAGAACTAGGGCCATACTGACGGAGAATGCAATGTCATTGTATTAATATATTCTCACTCTGCTGTAAGGAAATATCTGAGACTGGGTAGTTTTTAAAGTAAAGAGGTTTAATTGACTCACAGTTGCACAGTGCTGGGGAGGCCCCAGGAAATTTACAATCATGGCAGAAGGGGAAGCAGGCACAGACCTTCTTCACATGACAGCAGGAGAAAGAAGAATGAATGAGCAAAGGGGAAAGAGCCCCTTATAAAACCACCAGATCTCAAGAGAACTCATTCACTGTCACGAGAACATCATGGAGGAAACTGCCCCCATGATCCAGTCACCTCCCACCAGGTCCTGCCCTCCACACACAGGGATTATAGGGACTACAATTTGAGATGAGATTTGGGTGAGGACACAGAGTCAAACCATATCAGTAATTCTTGTACTTATTTTTCATATAACATACTCAGGTCCAGTCCAAGCTTTCTTTTGGAAAACGAGGCTAGACAGATTATAAGGTGTATGAGAGTGCAGGTCTTGTCCATGAGGACTCTAAGAAGCCCTATTCATGATTGCATATCTAGTTCCTCCGTCTCACTGATTCGGTGATGTCTTCTATTCCTCCAGACTAGATATATTTGTTATGATCACCTAGATCAAATATTTCCACCTAATGGAAAACCACCTTTTTTTTTTTAAGTCAAGGCACTAGACTAAAGAATAGTGAATGAAGTGGTAACGTGAAGTAAAAAAAAGGAAGTAGATCTAAGAAAAAGGAATTTGATTCTAACATACATTATACTAAAATCTTAACTTATTTTCTTCATCTGTTTTCCATGCTTATTCATGAAGGTTTACAAATGTTAATCATAATTTTTTTCCTGAATGAAGGTAAACTGTGAAAAAAACAAAAAATTCAGTTCTGTCATACGCACTTTATGTCCTTCTGTGCCCTGTGGGAAGTGGACTTCCAGTTGGTCAAATTTCCCACAGCACAAATCCTGTTGCAAGGAGCTGCATCCATTTTGTAAACTGTGTTTGCAAGCACAGCTTGTTAGGAGTATATGGGAAAAGTATGTTAATGTTTTAGAAAGGATGATATCATTTCTAAATATACATACACATATGTGTATGTATGTATATATTCTACATATTATACAATTCATCCATTTAGAGTGTACAATTTAATTGCTGTTTGTTTCTTTAACAGGGAAAAAAAGATGTGACCCAGATATTTAACAACATCCTGAGAAGACAGATAGGCACTCGGAGTCCTACTGTGGAGTATATTAGTGCTCATCCTCATATCCTGTTTATGCTCCTCAAAGGGTAGGTACATGACTTCCTTTCAAGTAGGGCTGAGTTTATAATAGTTGTTAAAAGTACATAGCATTAGTCTCATTTGAGACAGGATCAGTTCCCTTTTGGAAGTGCAGTAAAGGTATTTGTCATGCATAAGGTCAGCCCTCCAGATCTGTCTCTGTGATGACTTAGGCTGCAGCAAAATCCTTTCTTTGCACCTAATGTTTCTAAAGGTTATGTTTCCACTTACTGCCTTTCTTTCCTCCACATTTCTGCTATCTCTGTGTCTTCCTATTACAGTATTGCTTGTGCTTCCCTATCTGCCCTATTCCTAGCTGCCCACTTACCCTTTTCCTGCTGCATTAGACTGAATGCCCTCACTACACACACATGCACCCACATATATATTCTGGTTCTGGGAACTCAAATACAGGTATGAGAGTTTTTCTGGTAAGGAGAATGTATATGGGTCTATAGGGAAGCCATAAAACCGAAGTCCAGCTAGGTAATAGAATCCCTGATTATTATTTTTATGTATACTTATTTGTAAATGTTTCTTGGGCATTTGGGGGCTACTCTGAATCATAAAGACAAGATCTGGGTGTAGCAAGGCTTGAGGACAGCAGACCATCTTCTTCCCTTCGTCTGTCTTTCTACTCCACCATGTCAAATCAGCAAGTCTCTTTATTTTATTGTATTCCTGTTTTCAATTCTGTTTCATACCTAACCCATCTCACTGATGTTCATTTTCTCTCTTGTACATTTTAAAATATTTAAGTGTATCAAGATAATATATAGTTTAAAAATCAGATATATCAATATGTAGCAGTTTTTCGCTTTTTTTTTTTTTTTTTTTTTTTTTTTTT